ATTTAAAAGAAAAGACAAGTTTTTTTCTTTTTAATTGGTATTATTCAATTAAGCATATTAAACAAATGAAATTATAAATTGTAAAAAAATTTTATATTATATTTTTTGAGTAACATTGATAAATATGAATGAAAAAATAGTCCTTACAATTTTTATTCAGTGTTGAATATCTATTTCGTGATATGCAGCACATTTTTTTTAATGTAAACTCTAGGACTTAGAAAAATTTAGAGGGTTGGTAAGGGTACGGACAAGGAGCCAACTCCCACTATTTTATGTATAGTCATTTACTTGAATTTATTTTTTATTTAACCTAAACGTTTTCTATTCTGTTTCAAATAAATTTTTTTTATATCTACTATTTATTTCTATTGTTAAGAATCGTTCATCTGTATTTCCAACTTTGTATCCTCTTATGCTAATCTTTGCTTTTATATTCTTATTTTTTAGTATTATTCCTCTATCTGTTCTTTATTTTTTTAAGTCTCTGGTTATTTGTTATTTTTACTCGTAATATCAGTCTACAGCTTTATAAATATCTTCAAAGCCTTTATCACGGTATCACTGTCTCTACTGAACCATATTATGTGTGCCATATTAAGTATGGTTAAATAGTTTACGAATATAAGATTCTCGGTCAATATATTATTACTCCCTTCAACTCGTACCTCTATGAAATGTTTTTATGAACTCATTTAAACCGTTTTCCAGGAGTCCAAAATCCATATAAAATATAATGTACCCCCTCCCCTCATTGCAGTGTAAATATTTGTTTTATAATATTTTAGGCGATTTTTCATTTGAGCCGATATCCTGTACAAGTACAACGCATAAGTGCGGATCTAAATAGATTAGTATTATTTTAAAATAACTATAAAAAAAATTTTTAAAAGTTGTATCCAAACTAATAGACTGCCAAAAAACATATCATACTTCATAACTGAAAATGTTTTTAAAATGTTCAAGCAAAAGTAAAATTAAGTAACCCCAAATTTTATTAGCATTATTACCACCACGAAATTGTTACTTACGAGTTTTTAAATAAAAAAAAAAGATTATCGATAGCATAGAATAACTTTGACTCTTCAGCTCCTTATCCGGGTGGATGCAACATGGAATTCGATGTCAAGGTCTCACCTTTTCAAAAACTGGCGTATGATGATGCAACGATAACTGTCGATGCACAGCCAGCTTCTATGCCCAAAATTGACTCCTACCAGCCACTTTGTGAAAGATATCCATTGGACCACGATGCCTATCGCATGTACATGCCTGAACAAGACCCGAGCAACGAGACTTATTTCATGGCAATCGCAAACATGCTAACAGTGCGAGACATCGAAAATAATGCCGATTTCGTAAGTTGTGCACTTTCTTGAATAATACAGTTTCCCCAACCATTATTACTCTAGTTCACGAAACAGAATAAAAAAATTTACATAATAAAAAAAAAAAAAAAAAA